ATATATAATGTTAAATATATAAATTCTAATATTTTAGTTAGTTAGTTATATAAGTCTCCCAAAATTTTTAATTGATTTGCGTGACAAATTAAGCTGAACAATACTTGAAGATTAGTTTTAGTACCCCGAACAACATAGAAGGTAATTATCCGCGAATGTCCTGCTCACCGCCGCCCTCTATTCCCGTGTCTCCTCCTCGTCTCCTCCTCTCAGTAGCCCAGCCGCCCAGCATTTCTCTACCCCGCTCATGCGATGTACTTCAGTCCCTCAGCGTCGTCTCCTGGACCTCCTCCATCGGCCACCTCGCCCGCCGTGGCCATCTCGCCGCCGCCGCCGCCGAGTTCTCCTCCATGCTCTCTTCCCCATCCTCCCCCAACCACGTCACTTTCATCACTCTCCTCTCCGCCTGCGCCGACTTCTCCTCCTCCCCTTTCTCCTTCCCTCTCGGCCGATCCTTGCATTCCCTCGCCCTCAAGCTATCCCTCTTCTCCTCCCCCCGCTCCCTCCTCCTCCTCACCACCGCCCTCTTAGATTTCTACTTCAACGCCGGCTTCCCCGACCTTGCCCGCCAGCTATTCGATCGAATGCCTCTACCAAACCATTACACCTACAACGCCGTGATCGCCGGACACATGAAGAACGCCCAGATCAACGAAGCGTTGGACATCTTCCACCAAATGCCTGCCAGAGATCTAGTATCTTGGACTGCCATCATCGGCGGCTGCGTTAAGAACGGGCAGGCAGAATATGCATTGGAGCATTTTCGACAGATGCAGATCGATGGAATCGATCCCGATTACGTGACCGCCATCGCCGTCGCCGCCGCTTGCTCCGACCTCGGCGCTCTAGGGCACGGCCTGTGGCTTCATCACCTCGCGCTTAAGCGAGGGATTCTGGAAAACGTGCGGGTCGGGAACGCACTAATCGACATGTATTCCAAGTGCGGCCATGTAGATTATGCTCGGCAGATGTTCGACCAAATGCCGAAGCGAACGCTGGTTAGCTGGAACTCCATGATCACGGGGCTCGCAGTTAACGGTTGCTCCACAGAGGCTCTCTCACTATTCTCAGCACTGCAATGGTCGGAATTTGAGCCCAACAGCGTCAGCTTCACCGCCGCACTCGCCTCTTGCAGCCACGCCGGGTTGGTCGACGATGGGCTTTATCTGTTTCAATTGATGCAGACGAAGTATGGGATCGAGGCAAGAGCAGAGCATTATGGATGCCTGGTGGATCTGTTAGCTCGTGCCGGGCAGTTGGAGGAAGCCCTAAGTTTGGTCGAAGGAAAAGCCGAATGAGGTAATGCTGGGGTCTCTCATGGCGGCCTGTCGGGTGCACGGGGATGTGAAGCTGGCGGAGAGAATGTTGGCTCTTCTTGTGGAGGTGGAGCCTGAGACTGATTCGAACTATGTTCTGATGTCGAACATCTATGCGGCCATGGGGAGGTGGGAGGGGGTGGGGAAGGTTCGGAGCATGATGAAGGAGCTGGGAGTGAAGAAGAAGCCAGGTTTCAGTGCAGTAGAAATTAGTGGTATTGTCCATCAGTTTGTGGCTGGAGATGGAGCTCATGCCAAGACTGATGAGATATATGGGTCGTTAGATCTGCTTCATTTTGATTTAGGGTTTTATGGTTATGAGCCTAATGAAGAAGGCAGTGGAACTATTGATGAAGAATTTTCTGAACAATATATATAAATTGAGGGAGACGAACAAACTGTTAGAAGGAGCATGAAAGAGTAAGCCTATTAGAGTTAAAGGTGCTGATTTTATTGCCCTATATGGAATGAGGGCTTGGAAAGAGTAAAGTGAAGAAGAAAGGCTTATTTATGGCTTACTAATATATTGGATTGGATTTGAACTGCAAAACTATATTAAGGGTCAAACTCACCCAATCAACCCTAAGGATGGTACTTGTTGAGCTTGGCTTGAATGATCTCACCAGTCTAACTCATGTTAGCGCGGTTGAATTCAAGGGGATTCATCGGTTGGACCATGCGGATTCACCAGCCCAACTCAACAAGTATGATTTACCAATTACATAAATATCATCTTTAATTAACCCTTGGTAGATTTTAGTTTTAAACTCAATTACATAAATACCATCTTTTTTATACCCTTTTCTCATTTTTTTTTATTTACTATTTACCTATAAATGGAAGTTTAGGTGTCAAATATATATGTAAATACATAGGAATTGATCAATGTTATGTATGTAATTTTTCCTCGAATAGTAATACTTTATCTGACTATTTAATTAGTGGATTTCTGAAATAAATGAAATGGATAGCTGACTATCCGAGATAAAGACATTAATGGCAATTATACCATTATAAAATCAAAAGTAGTGCTCTACTAATCACAAAACATATGTCTAGATCTAGGAAGATTCATTGAGAAGACATAACGTATAGTGACTCAAGTATAGCGATGAGTCACTATATGTTATGCTTTCTCAATGAACCTTCTTAAATCTAGACATATTTTTGTAATTAGTAGAGCACTATCTATTAGGGAATTTGATATGTATTACTTTTGATAAATAGAGATTAATATTTGACATGAAAGCACTACTATATAATAGAGTTATATAATTGAAATTTAAGGAAATTTACATATGTACCACATGGTTCTTATGTGTTTATATATAAAAATTAAAGTTTTGATGGTGTTCAGCTTAATTTGTTACATAAATCAATTAAAATTTTGGATTACTTATATAACTAACTAAAATATTTAAATTTATATATTTAACATTATATATATATATATAGTGTGCGCGCGCGCATGCGAAGAGATTGCATATATAGCACATAAACTAATAAATTTTATATAGTGTGCGCGCGCTTGCGTAGAGATTGCATATATAGCACATAAACTAATAAATTTTAGATAATTCATATTATTAAATCATTTTGGGATGTATTTGAGAGAGAGCCAGAAAGATTGACATCCTAAGAACACCCTAACCTTCCATTTTTTGTTTATCTTTTTTTATATAGCAAAAAGACAATGCACCTGCTTAAGAGTATAAAATAAATATACAACTGTATTATATCATATATATATATATATATATATATATAGTAATGAGTTATAGCAGACTCTTCATCAATAAATCTATCGGTGCAGATGGCCGCGATGACGGTATACATCATTGTAATCCTGAATTCTTTCTTTTATTTTGAAAAGTTGTTCCGCGAGCTTAGTGGTGTAGCCAAGTAATTTTTAACGACTTTGGTGAGAAGATACAACCAGCCTGTTCTGAGAAATTCGTAGGAATGTTGGCGTGCTTAAGAGATATTGGCGGAATTTTCTGGATGATAAGGGAGCTCTATATCTTGTCTCTTCTTATCGAAAAAAATTTGCGTACCTCAAGGGGTATGCATCTCTGCGTACATAATAGTGTACACGGGGTTACATGGGAGTTACATGAGTGTACACGAGAGTTACAAGCATGTATAATTGTTACAGCGGGGTTACACGAGATTTACACAGGAGGAGGTTACACGGGAGTTACACGGGAGGTACAACAGGTTGTAACCCCCTTGTAATCTCCGTATAACTCCTATGTACCCTATTATGTACGCAGAGATGAGTACCCCTGACGTACGCAAATTTTTTCCCTTCTTATCAAGTGATTACCTATGAGCGTTTGATTCAAAGTTACCTATTCTATTGAGTATGCAATCAGATTTATTAAATACGCAGAAATCTCAGAAAATAAAATAGAATAAAATAAACCTATCCACCAAAGACCTACTTGCTTTACCTTTTTCAGTCAACTGCAATATTACTTGAGCCCAAATCTCCCAAACTCGTGGAAAGTTAACCCACTCCACGACGAATCAACCAAACGAAATCGCCGGCCAGCTCTCAACACCTTCTACGGCGAGAGCGAGCATACTTGGAGTGGAATCACAGCCGCTGCCTCCGTCCAGAGCAAGGTAGCCGCGAGTCCGGCCTCTGACCCACCGGACTGATCTCCGTTCGCCGTTTCTTCTACGACGCATATTCCCGCTGCATAAATGGGAGCATTTTCGACGGGATGAAGATGGATATGGTGAGCTTTGGCGAGGAGCTCTTGGTTTCTGGTTCTAGGGATGAGCAGCTGATTGGTGCGAGGATATTGTTAAGGTTTGCGGATCAGGCGATGAGGAGGATTGGGATGTCGGTGGTGGTGATGGAGAGGTTGGTGGAGATGTTGAATTGGAGGAGTTCGGGTGAGGATGAGATACGGACGGCGGCGGTGCTGGTGTCAAAATTGGCCGGGATGAAACGGAATGGGATTAGGGTGAAGGGGATCACCGGGGCAATAGAGTCCATTGCATCGCTGTTGTATAATGAAAATTATGTGAGGCCAGAGCAGGAGGTTAGACTTGTTAAATTTAAGAGCTTTTTTTTTTCTTGCAAAATTTTGGATATTCTATCGACTGCTATGCTGAGCTCTTTAATTTTCAATTCATTATAATCAGAAAACGCATCAGCAAACTACGGCAGATCGGCCGGAAACTAATCACTACCACACATTCAACCTTATCGGCCTCCTCATCCTCAAGAATCTCGCAAAAGATTCCGACAACTGCGCAAAGATCGGCAAAACCAAAAACTTCATCCCCAAAATCATCGACTTCACCACTGCCATGATCCCAAAGCTCCGCCAACGAAACCCCATTGCCGGCACCGATCCAGAAATTCAGGCCGCAAAACGAGCCCTCCAAGTAATCAAACTGCTCGCCGGCGCCACCGGCCGCACCGGCGAGACTCTCCGAAGAGAGATTTCGGAAATCGTCTTCACAATCGGCGAGACTCTCCGAAGAGAGATCCTCAAACACTGCCGCGAGGATGAGATTTTGAAGCCGTCGCGGAAGCTTGGGCTCGAGATTATTACTTACCTGGCGATGGATGAGGCGGCGAGGAGGAGGAATGATGAGAGAGCTTATGAAGATCTTTTTAGATTGCGGTGGGCTGGATGGCCAGGTGAGGGTGGAGGCGGGGGATGCATTGGCGATGCTTGTGGTAGACAGCGGGAGGAATTGTGGAAGAGTTCCGAGTGCTGCAGAAAATGTGGTAGTGTGGCTGGTGGAGGAAGCTGGTAATACAAAAATATGATTATCCAATAATTACAACTCCAAGTGTAAGAAGAAATGTGATGGAGCTATCAATTTGGTTGATGCAACTTAATGAGAAGTACACCACTTTATTTAGAAACCATGAGATGGAAAAAGAGATTCAACATGTTGCTGAGACTACTTCAGATGTTGAATGTTTTCCATCTCATAGTTTCTAAACAATGTGATGTACTCCTCATTATATTGCATGAACCAAATTGATAGCTCAATCACATTTCTTCTTATGCTTGGACTTGTAATTGATGGATAATTATATTTTTCTAGTATATACACCAAACTCTTTCATGTTTGTCGACGAATTTGATCTGGCTCATGAATATGACTATTTGCACGAAAAAATTCATCGAAGCCTCTAGTTATTTCACCGTCCCAAACAGTCTATCATTTAGGGCCTATCAGAGCGCAACAAAGTAAACGTAAAAATAAATTGTGGCAAAACTTAATTATCAAATGAATCATATCATTGAGATTTTTTTTTTAAATATATATCATCATATCCACACATAAAAAAATAATACCTCACACTTTAAAATTAAAATTATGTTATTTTTAAATTATATGAAAATTTTGAATAATATAATTATAAAAAGGTAAACTTTAAGTGTTAGATATGTAAATAAATAGGAATCATTGGGTATTCATGTAAATGCACAAAATTATTAAATCTGAAATGAAGTCTGACCATAGGGAAAGCTTTGATGAGCTCCTTCCTCGTCCGACAATCATCAGCCGCCTGTCGATAGGCGCATAGGTAGGCCAAAATCATCCCCAGCTTCCTCCACCAGTCATTCACATAGTATTGTATGCTCTCTCAATGAAGCTTGCTAAATCCGGACATGTTTTTGTGATTAGCAGAGCACTACTCTTGCTTTTATAAGAATATAATTGCCATTAATGTCTTCTTCTCCTGCAGCAACAGCACTCATCACTTTGATATATTAGCATTAAAATTAAATGTGAATAACTGACATACCATATGCACTAATATTTTATCTTGTTTGCTATGTTAATAGCCTAAATCTGATTGTAAGCCTCTCCCCATCATTTTATCTACTTTTTATTATATATTTTTAAATTTTTTTTTTATATTTCACATTCATGCTTTATATTTTTCAATTTTCTGTCCAATTAAAAAAAAAAAATCTAAGGATTAAATTTCAAATACAATGAATATTTTACATTGAATTTTAATTTATTCTAATGACATATTTTAATTTTTATATTCCCTGCATTTAGAATGTAATGCAGTCACAAGGAGAAAAATATTAATTATTGATAATTAAGAAATATTCTTTTTATTCTTTCCATAACTTTATATTCGATGCATTAAGAGTATAACTAATTATTATCCCAATAGTAATTAGTTATTATTAAAGGAGTAAATTAAAAATAGTTTATATATATATATATATATATTTCTATATATAATTATTGTAAGTTTGTTTCGGCTTTTCAGCCTGCTTTCAGAACCGAGTTTCTTATTCACGCTTCCGCGTGGATCGCGTTAATCTCATCATAAAAATTTTTTATATTATTTTTTAAAATAAAAATAATAAATAGATTTATTACAAATTACATGTTTTTTTTATTTTATTTGCTTACCTCTCCTCCTTTTGGCTTCATTGTTGAATGGAGCTTTGAGTGCATTTTCACATTTATTTGGAATTTAAAATCTTCATTCATTAATATAAAGCTATCAATGAATGAGCTCATCTCCTATAGGTTTAGGATAAGCAATATGATAAGAATAAATGGGCATATTCAGCTAAAATTTGGAGCCGAATCATTTAATTCTCCATTTCTACTTTCCTCTTATCGTTTGCCTCCAAATTTGATGCCATAAATAAATCCCTTTTTCATTATTTTAATAAAAAAAATTAAAATAAAATAGTCTCTCACAAAATCATACTTGAAACAATTAATGATAATATTGTAAATCACATAAAAAACTATGAATGAAAAGATGTATTTCACCCAAATAATTAATTTTAATGGCATTTTTAAAATTTATCCATCCTATATAAAGAAAAAAAATTCAATCATGGCTTCCAACGAATACTAGTTAGGACTTGGCAACCTTCGTCCTCCCCAATGATCCCATTCTCATGGCCGCGTCAAATTTCAGTATATTTTCAAGCTGATGAGACTGTACTCGTCGGCGTTGATGACAATCAGATGGATGTCAAGGCAAATAGCTCCTCGCAAGTCGATGACATCATTAACTGTGAGGTCGAAAGAGAGATGGAGGAAGAAGAACGAAAGCATGTGGAGAAGGCCTGCAAAGTTTTAGGATGTTATATCCGATGGCGGTGAAGTTTCGCACAAAAGCTTTGCGGCCTTCTCCATGCGCTTTCGCTCATCTTCCTCGATCTCGTTTTCAGCCTCATTGTTGTTGTCATCATTGACTTGCAAGTGTGTATGGCCGCATCAGATTGCAAAGATACTGAATAAGCATGTTACTTATTGAACATGTTACTATAAATAAACTTGTTACTATAAAATATTAATCAGGCCAAATTCAAGTTGTTCAATGAGTGTGCATTGATTCATTTACAACAATTTGGAAAATATACACCGTCAAAACTTTAATTTTTATATTTATACCATCCAAGAAAATTTTATTACATCAAAATATCATTTTTTTTATGTATAAATATGATTATATATGCAAATACATAAGAAATGAGGGGTATGCATATAAATCATCCATATTATAATAACACTGCATTCGTAATGACGTAAACCGCAATGATTTGTGGGCGGTTTGATTGCTTGCAAGTCATTAACATTCACATTCAATTATCTATATCTATAGATATATTATGAAAAGGGCTTTTTTACACAAGTCACACAATTCTTATATATTTACGTATCAAACACTTTTATTTGCAAAAATTACATAAAAATATATCATCATAGCTAACCTTTTGAAATTAAAATACATCTTTTCATGCATAAATTCAAAATATCATATTATACTTTAGACGTAAGATGTGCAAACACCTAAGAATTGTGTGATATGTAAATTTCGCATTAAAGAAAAAATGTAAATTTAATGTAAATAGTAATTTATATAAATCTAAAAATTGTATTTGTTCAAGAAAATGTTACTCACGATAATTTGTCGACTTATTGTAGTATCCTCATGCAATAAAATTATGCATATTTATTCAATCAAAAGAAGAATCTCAAGCGCCTTAATTAAAACGTATGAATGCCACAAAATTGTGTAACTGTTGCTTATTTGGCTCATCTGACTGATTCAAACCCTAACATTTGAATGATTTGTTCAGCTCAGGCAATCGGATTTAATTTCAAAAGTAATTTATTCTGGAAGAATGGGAAGCTGCCAGGAACAATTAGCAAACAAACATGGTTAAAAATAGGGGAATTTACATACATACCGCACAATTCTTATATATTTACATATTTAACATCTAAACTTACATATTCTTACCTATATAACACTCAAATCTTCCAAATCGTATAAAAAACACACTACTATTACTAATTTTTTAAAAAAGTGTTATAAACATCAAAAATCAAACTTTAAATGCTATATATATAAATATATAAGAATTACGTAGTAAGTATGTAAATTCCCCTTCAAAAAAAATAAACTATGATCTCAAGTACAATAAAGCTGATATAAATTTTGTAGGCGATTGGTACACAACAGATTAAGACAAAATGTCATAATGAAAAATAAATTATGAGGAAATGCCAATGAAACTAAGCTTTGCCTATGATTTTAAATTTTACACTCCAATAAATTTTAAATTATATACGTAAGTGGCCAAAACTAAAGCTCGATGAGGAGAGAAGGATACAAGCCTGGAAACAGGAAGGGAAGGCAAGCAGCATTCAGAGATCAGCCCTACCAGGATAGCGAGGGAATGGGATGACATCTCTGATGTTGTCGAGTCCGGTGGCGAAAAGAACCATTCTTTCAAATCCAAGTCCGAATCCACAGTGTTTAACGGTGCCGAAGCGGCGAAGATCAAGGTACCATTCATATGGCTCGAGTGGCAGACCAATCTCCAAAATTCTGGGAAATAAATAAATAATAAGAATATATCTATGTATATATATATATTTTGTAAACAGGTTGAGGATTATTGAATGAAAAAGAAAATTTCTGCTGCAAAAGAGTACAACAGAAGTTAACTGAAGATCACATAGATCCAGTTATTGAGTTTAGATGCCCATAAAATATAGCAATCACGGATTCAATGCTTACAATATAAATTATTTTAATAGAGTAGATTTTTTTTATGAAATGTTTCAGAGTTGAAGTGATAGAACAAAGCAAACAGCATGATACTACTAAAAAACAGCTCGGTCACCAATTTAATCAGTCATTTCTAGTATGTTTTAAACAATTTATAAATAAGAACATGTTGACGCAGATGTTATCAAAATGAACAAACTTAAAAGGTTAAATGAAACAAAAAATAAAAAAGATTTTACGGGTTTCTAAATGATCTAAACAAAACAAATAAAAAATCATGAGAATTAGCTAGAAATAAATCTAGTTTAGAAGCCACAAAAGAAAATCATAAATTTAAAAATCCAAAGATGAAGACAATAGAGCCGTTAACAAGGTAGGCATATAAAAGTCACAAGAGAAAAATATAATCGCAATAGTTTAGTTCTTGGGCTGCGGCTGCAATGATGATCATAACTCCATAATACGAAGTTGAGAGCAAAGTTTTGAAAAAAAATGCAAACAAGAGCACTAAGACGATGCACACAATCGATTAAACAAACAAAAAGCAAATTAAATCAGTCCCTCAAGAAGCTTCACACTTAAAATCGAGGTCTTCAACGCTCAAACATCTCATGCTGATAAACTTGGAGCTGCGCTTCACTGCCAATGGTTTGGCAGATTTCTGCGATAGTTAATGTTATTTTGTAATCTTCTAACAGTAACGTGTAAAAACTGAAACTTGGAAGCTGCTTTGTTGATACACAAACAAATTTTAGATAAAGTTACTCAATGAAACTAATATTAGAATATGATCTTCGAATATAGATATTCTCACATGTAAATTAATAAAATTAATAGATATTATAATTCATAGAAAGATAAATATTTGATGCACTCAAGAAACTAAATGGGTTTAAGAAAAGGCAAGGGAAATTGATAGCTTGGGTTTAAACTTTGGTATTCAGGTAGGAGACGCACTAGACATTGTATATGTGTAATTATAGATAAGAGTTTGAAAGATAATATTGTAAAAATTAATAGAGTTAGAAATAGAACTATAGCCCTTAAGATTGTTGTTGATACTTAAATTTTTAATGTTATACGTGTTTATGCTCCTCAAGAAGGTTTAGATGTAGGTTCAAAAGAGAAATTTCGGAAAGACATAAAAGAATAAATACAAATAGGGCTATCAAAAAAGCTCGTTGTTCGCGAACAACTCGTGTTTAGCTCGTTAAGTAGCTCGTGCTCAGCTCGTTTGTAAAGTAAATTAACCGAACACGAACAAGTTCTTAAAACTCGAATTATAATAACCGAACACGAACAAATTTTTAAAACTCGAATTATAAACGAGCCGAACACAAATCACTATTTGTTTGGCTCGTTTTAGCGAAATAAAAAAATTATATAACTATTTATATAACAATATATTACGTATATTATATATATTTATGTATAAGTTTGAATCATAACACCTCATGTGACAATGTGGTTAGTGCATTCTTTTGTATATATTTGATCCAAGTTCGAATCCCACATTTTACATCTATTTTTCTCAATTTTAGTTTAACGAGCCAATTTCAAGCCGAACAGTCGAACACGAGCTAAGTATGAGCTCGCTCAAGCTCGGCTCGTTTACAGCCCTAAATACAAATGATACATCTTAAAGAAATATTTTTTATTGGAGATTTAAATAGAGATGTTGGTAGAGTGGTAGAAGATTCTAAAAATATTCATGATGGCTACGAATTTGAAGTGATTAACGAAGAAGGAAAAACATATTAGATTTCGCATTAGCTTATGATTTTGTTATTGTTAATATTTTATTCAAGAAAAGAGATTGATATATTATTACTTATAAGAATGAATCTAGTAGAACACAAATTGATTATTTTTTTATGAAAAAAAATATCAATGAGAATGTAATAATTGTAAGGTCATTCCAAGTGAAAATTTAAGTACTCAACATGGATTATTAGTTTTGGATTTTAAGATAAATAATGCAATTAATATCATCATAGAATTAGATGAGGTTAATGAAAAGATAAAAATAAAATTATTTTTATGAGTAAACTTCAATATTTCAATATTTGGGACGTTTGTCAAGAAACTAATTTTATGTAGGATAAAGTAGCAAACACTATTAAACAATTGGCAAAAGATGTGCTTAGAAAATAAAAAATATATATAAATAAAATTAATTTGTGGTGGAATGATAATGTGAAAGAAAAGATTAAATATAAGTTGTGTTATGAAAATTAAATGCAAAAGCTTAGAGAGCTGGAAAAAATATAAAGTGATCCGTAAGAAGTTTAAGAGAATAATTTGTGACTCTAAGCTTTTAATGATCTTTATAAAAACTTATATATTAAAAATATTGAAATATTTATATAAGCTAGCCAAATAAAGAGAAAAGAAAAGTAAAAAATTTAATTCAATTAAAGTGCATTAAAGATAAAAATAAAAAGTAATTTTCTTAGAGAAGGATATTCTACATAGGTGGATGAGCTATTTTGATAAACTTTTCAATAATTGTTTTAAAAATAAGATCGACCTTAGTGATCTTAATATCGTTAATAATAATAAAACTTTCGATTTTTTACCATTGCATTAATGAAAAGAAAGTTGATGAGGCTTCAAAGAAATCCAATTGTTGAAAATCAATAGTACCTGATAATATCCCAATTGAAGTGTGAAAATAACTAAGAGATTTGAAAAAAATTTTGGTTTGCTAAACTCTTTAATATTATTTTAAAAAATAAAAAAAATGTATGATGAGCGGAGGAAGAGTATTTTGGCCCCTATTTTTAAAAATAAAGAGGATGCACAAGAGTTTGAAAATTATAGAATAATTAAGTTAATGTGTCATACTTTAAAATTGTGGGAGAAAGTAATTGAACATAGGTTAAGACGTGATAAAAAGATTTCATATAATCAGTTTGGATTTATGTCGGGCAAGTCTATTATGGAAGTTATGCATTTATTGAGAAGTTTGATGGAGTATATAGAGAGAGTGAGGAGGATCTACATATGATTTTTATAGATTTAGAAAAAGCTTTCAATAAGATTCCAAGAGAAGTTATTTGGAGAACTCTATGAAATAAAGGTGTTGATATGACTGTCTGCCAGTTGAAGAGTTTGTGTGTCAACAATACCACAAACATGAAGCCAGAAGAATTAAGAGAGTAAAGAAAAGTAATAGCAAGAGTTTTTGGAGGCTACTATTAGTTTTAAGGACACATGTTACATTTAAAGTACACCATTTTTTTCAAATTTTAACCCGTACTTTTCCTTTTTAATCCCCAACTTCTCTCTATATTCAAACAAGAGAGGGAAAGCTTAATTTTCATGTTAACGACCTCATGTTGAAAATGATGACATCATCCAAATGTAGAGAACAAGCAATTATCGGCATCTCTACCCTCACAGTTATTGTTGATGAAAGGTTTGTCATCTTCATGTTTTTATCTCTTTCCCCAGCTTAGAGAAATCGATTAAAGTTTAATTTAATATGTTTAGAGCTTAGGCACTTCGGATTAAATAAAGTTATGGTTAATTTAGCCTAAACTTAATATTAGTTTGTCGTTTAACCTAAACTACACAATTAGACTAAATATTATGTATGTGTCACAAATAATCATGTGTGGACCATGCATGTTATGCATGGGCACGCATATTATGTGCGACCCTAACAAAGTTTGACTACTTTTTTTTTTGTGCTAATCAATTGATCTCCAGTCCCCACCAGAAGGTCAACCTTTCCAAGCCTTAGCAATTTCCACTTTATTTCAAAGATCAATTTTTTTGTGATTCTTCTCCTCATGCTCTCTCACTCGCATATACCCTTATCAATGGTAATTATTGTTGGGATATATGTATAAATATTTTAAAAAAAAAATCACATATTGATGTCAGAGAAAAACGAATGACCGGCCTTACATCTTGCTTGTGTATGAAGACGAGCACACAAGAAAGTGCGCATATCATGCCACTATTCCACGTCACATCATAAGACTGCAAGCTATATGTCACGAACAAAAAGTCCCACATCGGCTAGGTGTATGACCGAAAAGCAGTATATAAGTCCTGGTCTGCTCACCACCCCCAAGAGCTCTTTTGGCAGGTGACAAGTGGTATCAGAATCGATTACTGTCTGTCAGGTGTGTGGACTCTTCATGGTCCAGTGAGACCCTAGGTGGAGCTGATTTGTGACGAGGGCGTCACGTGATTGAGTGGAGGAAAATGTCACAGACAAAAAGTCCCACATCGACTAGGTGTAGGGCCGAAAAACAGTATTTAGCTGTCCACCACCCCTAAGAGCTCTTTTGGGAGGTGACATATAGCTCAAAATGCAATATTGGTTCAAATTTCAAGGATTGGTTCATTAAATGTTGCAATAACTAGCGCGAGCATTCACTTCTCATCATATCCTACAATCTTGGTTTTTTTTTTCCTCTCATGTTGAAGCTAGTCACTTCTTGTGGTTCTTCCATGCATGCTCTCTCGCCTACATGAAGTCAAAAGCCCACTTCATATTCTCTCCTTTCACACTGCTTGCATCCCTCAATCTTCAACCAGTCATTCAATCTCATTGTTCTTGATTTTTAAGTACTTTTTCATCACTTTATTATTTATATCTTTATTTTTTGCCTCTCCTCCGGATGAAAAATTACTATTATTACACATACATGTTATAATTAAGTTTGTCAATTAAATGAGTATTGCACGCACATCATATATGTGCATATGCTATGCAAGATATAAACGCCTTAGTTAATAAAAGTGTTGGTTGGCTAAGTATGGGGGGCACCTAGTACGAGTGCTAATATTTAAAAGTCTCAAATAAGAGTGACTTCATATATAGAGTTGAAATGACCAAATAAAGGTGTTAACTCATACATACTCACTTCCAAGAAGATATATTGGGGGCGAGCATAAGTTTGAAATAGTCGTGGAATTCATGAGTCCCAAGATTACATTGTTGTTGGCTTTAAGGGTTGATTGTTGGAATGACTAATTAAAATGCATCAAACTCACACACTACTCTTCTCTTTGATTATATTCTTCTATCGAGGGTAGATTTTATCAAAGTTGGATTCTTTTTCATCAGATGCGACACATTTGGATTATATATATATATTAAAAGTGGATCATGGTATTTATATCATTTTAAGTGGGTGCATAATCGAAGGAGACACGTTTAAAAGCACAGAATCAAACACAAAGCATTAGTTTCTCCATTTAAACATTCAAGCATGTACGCAAGAGCACAAATAATCACATAGGCCAAATGTGCCCACCTATGCACACACACTAATTTTTTTCCTCCTTTTAGGGTTGGGACATGAACATGCAAACATACTTAAGCATAGAAAAACTTGCAGGCACGCATTCACATACTCAGAAATGCACATAAATTCATGCTTATACATACACATACACATACACATCACATGTTGACATACAGAGAAAAATATGGGCGCATAGTTTGAAATGAAAAGATTAACCTTTCAAGATACACAATTCCAATAGTTGCAGCATGCCAAAAAATTACATCTAAATGGTGTTCCTATCCCTGATAATGTTAAAAATTGGTTCAATACACAATTCTATCCAACAACATGAGTGCTACAAAGTGGATGTCATTTTAATGTTAATCAATGACAATGGGATGAAATAGAAATTCAATACACACATATGCATGCACCTGCATAATGATGCACACAAACACATCCATGTACATATGTAGATATTCCTTTATCCTTTTTAATGGTTTATGCACGTAGACAGAAATATCATTAATCTTCAAAAAGTGCCTCCATGGAATCATTATACCATTTTTTTTTTATTATTGACCGATCATGTGCTGATGTTCATGATGACTTCCCTGATCACTATATAGTGACCATCAATTTATTTAGGGCTTGCTTGCAACCTTTTTGTCTTTTATGTTTTGTTTCCAGATTAAAAAAACCAAAATACGTATAAAACAAACTGGAAATAATTTTGTTCCGTGTTATTTTCATAAAAGCAGTACGCTTGTTCACTAAAACTAAGTAGACGCCCATATAAGTGTTCACTTTTTCTCTCAAAATACGGTTTAAATATCAACTTTAAATTCATCATTTTGTAACTTTAATCTCAAAAATTAAACTATCAACAAGCCATTCAGTGACAGAAGCTCTAAAATTGTTTGAAAATATTAGTAGGTTCTGCTAACATGTTGGGTACAAGGCATGTGGTCAGGGAAATATAAAAAATAAATCAGCTCGGATAAATGGGTTGCAGAAATGCATACCTCTGTTTAAGCACATCCAACCGTTCCTCCCTTTGACTCCCCCCAATCAACTCACCAACCTGTTCAAGCAAATAACCGCGATAATTAAATAAGCTGAGCCCAATACACAACAGCAGACAAGCTAAGTGTTTTGCATCACAGGAATGGGCCTAATGGATGAGCATTTTCTAGAACTACTTTAATAGAAAAGGAAGATCTACATGCATACCACTCAATCCATATGTATTTACATATCTAACTTCAATTTTTACAAATAAGCCACTTTACATATGCATGAAAAGGTGTGTTTCACTTTTTAGAAGTTAAAATTAGGAATTAAAATAGTGGTATTTTTCAATGTGATAAGAAAGATTTGGGTGGTAAAAATGTGAAAATTAAAGTTTAGGTGTTAGGTATGTAAATAGATAAGAATTGAATATTTTGTGCGTAAATGCCCCTAAACAAACAAGAAGGAAAGCATACTTTAGGCACAAGAACATCCATAGCTGCCACAGTTTTGCCATCATCATTCAGCCTCATGTAAAATGCCTTAATGCTTTTGGGATAATTATAAACAATGACGGGCTTTTTGAATACTGCCTCTGTCAAGTACCTTCCATCATTTTACAAAGAATCATTATACCCAAAATATAGGAAAAATAAATGCAAAAGATAACTTAACAAACATATTGCCAAGATACCTTTCGTGTTCGGATGCCAAATCAACACCCCATTCAACCTTGTTCTCAAATTGCTTGTCTGTAACATTTTCCAATAGTTGTACAGCTTTTGTATAAGAAATTCGTTCAAATGGCGTTGACGAGACAAGCTTCAAGCGTTCTATTGCTGTTTTATCAACATTCTTAACCATGAACTCCATATCTTCTAGACAGTGGTCAAGCAACCATTTGCATAGAAACTTAACATAACTTTCAGCATAATTCATATCGTCCTGCAACAAAAAAACAATTAAAGCTGTCTATAAAGAATAATGAATCACATGTTCTATGAATTAATATTAGTTCAAATAAACAAGAACAAAAAAGAGAAATATTGATACCTCTAGATTTGCAAAAGCTATCTCAGGTTCAACCATCCAAAATTCTGCCAAATGCCTTGAAGTATGAGAATGTTCAGCTCTAAAAGTTGGACCAAATGTGTAAACATTACCCATCGCACATGCATAAGTTTCGACCTGGAGTTGCCCCGACACAGTAAGAAAAGCTTGACGTCCAAAAAAATCATGAACATAGTCTATTTTTCCATCCTTATGAGGGATTCCACCTTTCATGTTGAACCTCTCCTCCAATTTAGCCAAATTTTCCTTTGCCTTTGTCAATTCAGATACAGCACCTACGATTTTCTCCTTGCTTGCTTTAAGTGATTTTAGTTGGGAAACTGACTCTCCTTTCTCCTTCACGGTAAGTTTGGCAGCCTCAATATCAGATTCTTTTGGCGGAGGATTTTGGTTCAGCTCTTTCTCTATCTTTTCAGCTTCACTAAAAAGAGTTGTCACTTGAAACATTTCACCAGCACCCTCACAATCACTAGTAGTGATTATTGGAGTGTGGACATAGCGAAATCCATTTTCTCTAAAGTAAGTGTGGGTAGCATAAGCCAGCTCATGCCTAATCCTTGCAACTGCTGATATCTACAAAAATTTTAAAATAACCATCAACAATTTAGCGGTGAGAATGCTTATCCAACAAAAAAGCACTAGGAAAAAAGGGAAATGAATATGTTCACATAACAGCCCAAAGTCGAAAAGCAGTAACAAATTTATCTCAGGTGTGTAAGCTACTATTAAAATGCATGTTCAAACTTTGCAATGCCAAAAATCTTGCCGTCTATCTCTATATAATATCTTTGCCATTCAACACTTAAAGGCTATGTCCTCTCCTTCACGGAATCCCTCTCTCAGTTTTGTTAAGCACAAATAAGTGAAGGCACGTTCAACGAATAAAAAAAAATAAAAAATGCATCCAGCTTGTATTGTTGGCTGAACTGAATGGTTCGCCAAGCTATCCATCTAGATGTAGTTTATTCCTTTCATTAAATTGTTGTTGTTCCTCATACCATTAAAATAAAAGAAAAGAACTGCCACCTAATTAACTATTTGGTGAGTAAAGGTGCAATCTGTTGCATTTAATGTCCCCCCTTGCACTCAATATATTCAGTTTCTCGGTGTGCTAGTGTCTTGTGGCGTTAGAGGTTAATTATAGCATTTAAGTTGTCCAATATTTTGTCTAAAACACATACGAGTTAAGTTCATCTTCCTTTTTTAACATTTTTCCCTCAGCTACTTTACCCTTTTCTGCTTTCTTACAACTTGCCGGTTGTCAATATTCCTTGCTTTTAAGCATCATTTACAAACATTATCAATATTTATGCTTACCCCTAAAATATAAGGCAATTTATATATATAACACAATTTTTATGCATTTACATATCTAACACCTAAAGTTTGATATTTACATTTATAAAACCTTTGTATTAATAACCAATGTACAGAAAGGAAAATTTAATTTTTATAAAGTCAGTGATAGTAGTATTTTTTTATGTGATGTCAAATAGTTGAGTGCTATGCATGTAAATATGAAAGTTTACGTGCTATATATCTAAATATATAAAAAATTGTGTGGAATGTACTAAATGACCTTAAAATACATTCAATTACTTTGGAGCTTCAGTGAAGAGATAATTTCTTTGCTCTGAGACCTGATTCAGAAATAATAAAATTCACATTTTCTGAGATAATTCGAGTTTTTATGAGTTTGTTTTTATTTGAAATGCATGTGAGTATCAGCAATTCATCTTTCTTGCTACTGGTAGAAAAACATGTAAATTTTATCTAGATTTTAAATTCATAAAATTAGAAATACGTTGTTAAGTATTTATGGTTCTTGAAAAATATTTTGAAGAGATCCTTAGATTTCATCTTTCAAGAACCAATTAAAATAATTTATGAAGATATTTGCATTTGAATTTTCATAATAAATACATCTTTGATATTATATATAACCTAGTACATTTATACAATATTATATAAATTAATTCAGTAACATCTATTTCACCTGATAAAATATTTAAACCCAAATAAACTTTTTATTCAAGATAAGTTGTAGCTTATACAACCTGACAAGCTTCAAACTCGACACAAAAGAATTTATAAACCTGTCATATATTAGTATAAAAGTTTGTTGGAGAAAGCATTGCCAAAATGACTGGAATTATGCTTTTTGTCTCATGTTATCAAAAGCATCAAATGCTGAAATTTGGCATGCCAAAAATAGGTAAGACTCTTGAAAAAATCATACTGTGGATAAAAAGATTAAAATTGCATGCCAATAGACGCAGTTGTATTGTCAATGCTACTACTACAATTTTATAAAATCTCCACAACTAAGTTCTGGAAATGACAACCTTCTCTAATGACCCGAACTAAACTCTATTATCCATCATTTGATAGTAGCAGGTAAGCTCTTTAGCTCTATTTGGCTTTATCCATCTAGGGCTTGATTTAATTTGTGTTAGTATAATCTTGCATTTGCACTGTCACTGTAGGCAATCACATGTTTTATTATTATGAAATTTATGTCCACTCCTGAGATGGGCTTCTTTCTAATCTAACAGGCACTCAAGTAAAGATGCTAATGAGTTCTTAATGAAAAAGGGTAAAGGATCTCAAATAACTTTAGAGTCAAATATTTAAAGATATATCAAAATATTATGTGAATGAAAAAAATAAATAAATAAATTGTTTTTTATAATATTTCAGTTTTTTAGACATTTTAATATAATAGCTTGAATCTTATCACTATTTCATCGATAAGCAAATTCTAAATGAATCTATTTCGTAAGATGGATGAGAAAGTTGCTATAAACATGCACAAAAAAATTATCACTAGCAAATATGGGCATCATCTTCAATAAAGTTTAGAGACGAGGAAAATATCATTTTATGCGACTTAAACTAGAGATGAAGTTGTCAGCATAACATCAACAACTACCCTTATGAATTGTCGACCATAGTAAAGACTCCAAACCGAAGGAAAATAAGGACCTACTAATATATTTGAAAAATGATACTTTTCAATATCATCCTCCACAAACACCATATTACAGCTTTAAATCAATCAAGTGAATTGACGATGTTTTAAGTGCCCAGCCAATTGCATTTCAAGCTCCTCAGAAGGATTTATTATTTCATTATCTTCGCTTAGACATACAACAACCATAATAAACAACTACCACTGAATATGAGAATTCATGACCCCCCACTGTTTCATTCTGCATGGTATATTGTTTGAGACATAAGAAAAGTAAGGACTGCCTAATGTACCTGTCACTGGTGCAAAATTTGCCTGCCTTTTGTTTTGGCTTCATTGTTTGAAAGCTCCGAATGACTCTCTACAGGAATATTGCTATAGATGTGTGTTAAAAAAAAATTTATGATTGCTACATACATGTAAAATTCATTCTTTCAACTAAAATTTAGAAGCTTCTGAGATCTTTAGTGCCACATCTGAAGGGTTGCTGAATTATAAATTTTGCTTCTTCAAGGTGAGTTTGGTATTTGCAAGTGTTGCCTAAAGTTGCCCTCTCAGCCTAAAAACAGTGTTGCACTACATTCACATCTGTGATATTTTGAGTAAAAGAGCTTCATTGCTTTTTTTTTCCTTCTCAAGTGATTTTTTTCTAGCGCATATATTACAAGTTTGAATTTTATGGATCATGAAGTTTTATGTAATTTCAAGGTTAAAACGTGCACATTACTTGTTTGAAATTTACGGATCAAGAATTTTTATGTAATTTTAAGATCATGCATTCATGTAAGTATACCTAATGCATACATTTATATAAATGCATGCATCCACACACCCATATTTAAATACATGCATTCATGAATATTGTTCCCTTTTTTTATTAAATTTGTTTTGAAAGGTTTCCTACGAATGTATTTCAATACATTGTACCCAAAATTACCCTCCCTCTATTACTTAGATGTTTACATATTGGAACAATTCAAGCACATAATGGGCAGAGAGGTATAAGTATATCCCCAAGATAAATCCGCGAAAGTAGGAGACGAAGAGGGAGAACTTGTCTAGCCAAGCATAAGGCTTCAAGCAATAAAAAACTAGGGGTGTCAACTCGGATTTGAGGGTCAAGTTCAGCTCCGACTTGAAATTGACCCAACCCGAAATTGCTTACCTGAACCCGACCTGCCTTCAACCCGCTGACCTGAACCCGATTCATATAACTCACGTAACATAAGGCATAATAGTTTTTCAACTTGAATTTGAGTCAATTTCAGGTTGATGGGTCAAATATGAATCAACTTCGCATGTTAGTTTCAGCTCAATTTCGAATTTGTGGATCAACCCGAACCCGATCTAAAAAAGTTAAAAGAGTTAGGATTCCCCGAACTCGAACCTAAACTGGCAAAATTATTCGGGTTAACTCGAACCCGGATATCTCGAATCGAGTTTGAGTCTAGTTAGTGTGTCAATTTTTTATGCGCCTGCCGGAAACATGGCGAACTTACATGCCAATCTAAAGGAAGCAACCATTATAGCTTTAGGATAGCTTCATCCTCAATTACTAGTTCTCATAAGCCAATCGTCCAAACAAGTTGACTACAATCATAGATGTATGGTAGTCTATTAGGAGATCCTACAACATCTTCAGCAAGTCGGTCGCACAGCCCAAGCTTGCGTCAAGACAACTAACCTATTGTATTTTTTAGTACTCTACACATATGTTGCTTACTAATATAAATTTTCTTGTAGCACTTGAGAATCTGGATCCTAACCTACAAATATCGGATCTTGGTAAGAGCTAATTGTTGGATCTTTTTTCCACTTTTTCACTTTTGTTCTCCCATTGTAGCATCATAAGCCATATACTAAGTGGATTTGCTTCCTCTGTTCCGACTTTTCTCATTCCTCGTAATCAATATGGTTCAAGGCATCATCCAAATAAATTTTGGAATTCAACAGTACACACCTTAAATTTGTTCTCCATCACAATTTCAATTATTAAAAAATCTGATTCTAGTTGAATGCACTTGCAGTACATGTATTTTGACCGGTTCTAAGAAAATCATCGTAAAGATTTAATCCTAGTACATTTTACTATAGAGTTTCAATCACATTGCCTAAAGTCAAAAATTCAAATCCAAAAATATGAGTGAAACTAGAGCTATTGATCTATGATGTGCAATTTGATGAGGTTTCAAAATGGTTTTATCCCAAATCCAGCTGATGAGATTAAGGTCATCAAACATGTAATTGATAAACTAGGACAATCTTCCTGGCATAAAAAATAATTCGCTTTCAGCAATCAATCAAAAGATAATAAAACTTAAAGAGAAAATTGTTCAAATGGAAAAAAACATTCTTCACATCCTAAACTATACTAGTTCTCTTTCCAGGATATTCATGGTTAAACATCGCAGAGTTAAAAATCAAAAGAAAAAAAAAGGTTTATAATTATTATCATCACCGTATTAGTTCTTGCACGGAAGTGGACGAAGTCACGCAGGAACTCCAGGGTAAGCCTGGTCTTTGGAATCGGATACTTAGCTGGATCGACAAGCCCTACTTCAAGGACCTTCTCCACCCTAAGCTCCACGCTCTGCTTAACACCCTCAGGCGGCTTCTTCAGCTCGCCCTCGACCAGCACGCTAGTTCCCGTCGGCGTGAGCAACGCAAGAGAACATACACTCGCGTCCACTATAACCTGAAGGTTAGCGAGACACGAACCATCATTCAGTTCCAAAAACGCAAAGGAGCCCTTCCCTTGCTCTCGTCCCGTCTTCACCCATCCACCGACGACAACCCGCCGGCCGACGGACCGGTGCCGTTTAATATGGTTTTGATGAAAACGCGTCCATGGGATTGCTCTAGCACCGGATCGGCGAGGGATGCCACTGCCATCTCAGTCGTCAACTGTTCGGCAGCGCCGTCGTCTTCAGCCATTAGAGCACTGCTTCCCTCCAGAAGCGGGAGTAAATTTCTACTGCTAGGGTTTCCACGCACGCTGTGGTAGATTCGATGGCGCTAAATATGCGATTCTACGAGGAATTGATTCGTTTCCAATTTCTTTGGTGAATTCCATGCATGTAATAGGACGTTAACATAAATACCACACCATTAGCATCAATTTGAATATCGAACCCATCATATTATTATATTTTTAAATATAACATCAAATTTTTAAATTATTATAAATATTAAAGTTAATGTAATTATGTGAAAATTAAGTTGCATATATGTAAACTTTTCTAATTTCTTACAGGTGAATAATTTTTTTTATTTTTCTTTTTTTATAGTTTATAATAGAAAAAAATATATTAAAATATATTTATTTACTGGTTTTATAATTTCTTTGTTTTTTAAACAAATTTATATTTATTTTTAAAAACACTAAATATATTTTTTACTGTTTTTAAAATATATTTATTGACCATGCCAACATTTATTTTTTACTTCATGTTATTTTCTCAAGACTTCTCTTTCTCTCCAACTTTCTCATTGGCCGATCTCGACACCATAACATCGCCGACAAATCTCTGAAGTTGACCCAATGACCAATCAAAACCTTCGATAATAGTTAAATTCACTGTTTGCTCGGTTCTTTTTAAAGACTCGGAGCCGTCAGCATTTTATAATTCTCTTATTTGAATAAATATCCTTCTTAAATTATATAAATGATTCAAAGATGAGAATAATAGAATGAAAAGGAAATAACACAATAAGTAGGCAAACAAATAAAAAGATTCTCTTATTTGAATAAATATTCTCCTTAAATTATATAAATGATTCAAAGATGAGAAGAATCGAATGAAAAAGAAATAACACAATAAGTAGGCAAACAAATAAAAAGAAAATAAGTTGAAGGCTTATATATAGGTAATCTTCGTGTGATGGGTCAAAATTATACATCTGAACATGATTTAATCGAAGTATTATGAAACATAACATCCACGAAGAGAATTCAGACCTAAGTCACATGTAACAAGATAACAAAAAAAAAAATTGTTCTAGAGTCAAAAGTCTCCCAAAAGAACATATCCCTCAGGTTAATTATATTTTGGGTGATACCAAAAAATACTCTCAATAAAAAAAATTTCATTTATATTATCATGAACCTAGAGAATATGTCAGCAAATGATACTTATTTCATATGGGAACACTTTGAATGCTTCAAAACTCTTGCTAAGTCACAGGGCTGAGAGTGAGTTTCTCACATTCCAAATGGGTAGCGACCCGACGACATCAGAACTTATGAAATAACAAAAATTATCTCGATGGGGATATTCATATAGGCATGAGCTCCCCGAGCCATGAGGGCAATGGGTGAATCAATGTATTCTAAATGAGCAGCAGTTAATTTAAAATTTAGGATTAAAATTGTCATGATTTTTTAAAACTTGTTTTTACTTTTCTGTGTGGCTTTCAGAACGGTTTTAAAACATGTTGCATGGCAGGACTTTCACCCAAGTAATATTAATAGGGTCTTCACAATATCTAAGAACCGCTTTACATAAATGTATCATTTTGCATGTCCCAATGAGAAGTCATCGTACTTATCCAACCCGACAGACCCAGCATAGAACTTTATTTAGGTGGTTATCCAGTGCGTTTAGGTCATTAGAAGGCTTCCCGACCCGGACAGGGTGTAAGTTCTTTTATTGTGAGTGTTTCCAGCTTTGTAGTTTAATCTCTCATTATCTTCCTTTCAAGAGGGATCAATGACACTTCAACTGGTATAAATCCCACCTCTTGAAGCTCCACCTGATAGTTATGGGATAAGAGTTTTATTCCTTATATCCAAGGGCTGCTGAGGTTCCTGCGAACAACGCAATTCACCGATTGCTGACATATAATTTATGGGCTTGTTGGATTAAATACCTTCACGACCATGTTGACTTAATGTCATAGTGACTTTGGATGTCGGGTCTGTGGTACCTCAAACGGACCACTGTTACTTGTTTAGAGACCACTCCTCCCTTCAATTGAATACCCACTTTAAGCCCTGCCACTCCTCTTGCTTTCTTTGGTATCATATTGACGACTTGATTACTGATGAGTTGTCGTCTGTTTGGGATACAACAATTATTCCTCTACCCTTATGACCTAGATGTCAATTGACGTATCGAGATTTATCGTCGTGATAATTCAGTTATTTCACAGGCTTCATATGTCGATGAGTTTATTACCCATGTGGGACCATGTGAAACTCGTTCTCTGCCCCATGACTTAGCATGAGCTTTGAAAGCATTAAAGTATGCCCATTCGAAACAACTGTCTTTTGATAGGGTTGTGTTAGTCATCATTTTAAATGTAAGTTGAACTCCTTGGATCAAAAGTATTCTTAGGCAACCCCAAAGATGTAACTAACCAAGTAGGATACGTTCCATTAGGAACATCTTAGACCCCATAAGAGGCAAACACACATGAATTTTTGCTTGTGGGCAGCTTTTGTAGGAATTCTTTCTTGGATATTTTGCACAAGCTATTTCATTCCGACCTTGTTCGAACGCATGTGTTTGACCTATCCTAGCGAGTTTTGTCATACGAAGGTTCTCAATGTTCTTTCACTTATTTGTCTGCCTTTGTCATATGTCATGTTTTTATGGTCCCTCTTTTCTCATGATCATGCACAAGATCCAAAAAAGAGACTTATTTGGAGAAATAAAGTATACAACCATAGACAAACTGACGACTCCTTTAAAATTAAAAAAAGATGAAGGAACAATAATAGACTTAAAGCATGCGCGTTCGGATTTATCACGGGCAAGTTGGGTTCCTTATTGCTCGGTGTGAACCCAACGTTGGTCCAACACAAGTGCACCCAAGTGTTGACTCCTGTTTTTTGTGAACGTGTTAGTGCACCGCGCCTCCGATGCGGGTGCGCTAAGTCCAAAATAGGCATGCCCATGCATGAAAATCTTAAGAGCACTCGTGTGGATAGTTCACGAGCCATATGATACTCACAGGGAGCAGACTATGTTCTCATAGTCCTTATATAAAAAACTAGTGCCAACAGAGAGCACTTGGTAAGCATGACATCAAATATCGACACCAACAGCCATGTTGCCTTTCCAGCTCCAACTGCAAAGTCACGTCGCTTTTGCATGATCATGCTACTATGTGGCATAGCTAAACCATCAAATTGGGTTCTATGGCAAGTATGTCGTAATAGTGGCATGGATGTGATGGTAACATATTATGATGTGAGCACACCTAAATGCTCGATGGCGCCGTCTTAAGGCGTGGGTGCGCTCAAGGACTAAAATTTGAGGATTTTGGTCAAAATAACAACCTCGACCCATTGAAAGAGAAAATGTCAAGGAATGCAATAGTGGTGTTGGCTTTGGTTAAAATGATCTCTATATTGAGTTAATTCAGTTTAAAGATAGGTCTTACCCCACAAAAGCTAAAATTTTTGGTGCATATTGTAATGAGCTTCAAATTGGTCAACTTTGATGTTTTTTAATTTAATTTGATTTATATTATAAGTTTAAAGTTAATTTGAGTTTATTTTAAGGTGAGTTTGTAATTATTGTTCAACTTTATAATGTTTGATTTCCATTTAATGATATTTATTTCAATTTTATTTTACATATTTGAGTTGAATGAGGAGTTAACTAAAAATGTGGTCAACACTCGTGTCTCCTAGCTCAAACGGGTCAACCTCTTATGGTGTATCTCGATGGGGATATTCAT